GTCCCACAGGCTGACAGCAGGCTGGGGCTGGAGGCGCAGCCCATCTCTTTATCCCAGGGGAACAAACTCAAAGCTGCTGTGCGGCTCTGGGTGAGGCAGATGCTGGCCAGTCAAAGTGAAGGGAGGTCCGGAGAGCGGGGGATGCTTAGGCTCTTCTTAGGTTCCCATGCCCTGTGGCACGCGTGTGTCACTCTCCGACAACTTATACAGACAACAGCAGCAGTGTCCATCTGTCACACAAAGGCATAAAAGTCTACTCCAAAAAGATGCAGCAGATTCACTGTAGGCCAATTAAAAGGAAGCATTTCCTTATTTATGGAGGACACCATTTATATTTAATGCTCTGAAATTCCATATCAATGTGTTTTAGTACCATGTATTTTCTCCCACTGTTTACATCACTTCTGCAAAACAAGATTTTGTTTTGTATACACTCTGTGTATACAAAACAAGATAAAAGTTGTCTAGGTTTAGTCTCTCTCTCCTCTTTGTTAATTTCTAGGAAGAGTCCTTTCATCTACAAATGATGGAAGCCACTGAGTTGATTGGGGCCCTTTAGAGTGGCAGAGATATATCTGGATCCTTCCCCAAGTTCATCCTCAGACCATGGGGTCTCTGAGGTCTACAGATGTTTCCTCTGACTTCCTGCTTGGTGGGTCCTCTCTGACAACACTGTCTACTGTGAAACGTTCTTAGTCAGTTTTAGCCTTTGATGATCAAGCTTTATCAGCTGGATCAGTCACATGTGGATCCATCTAAGCTGTGGAAAATCACAAGGCATGAACCTCAGCACTATGTGGACCTTCATGTCGATGTAATTTCTTAGTTTTCTATTTGCCATACACTTTCTATGATGTGTCAGACATTTTCCACTTCTTCATGATAGAATCAGCCTGGAACAGAACCAAATGTGGAAGAATTTTAGGGCTGAGAAAGCTTTTCCTCCCTGTCTGGTCATCATTTCATTCTGCTTTCACGTTAAAGGCCACTCTGGTATTTTATCACCCCCGATGAATGAGTTTAACCTGCAAGGGAAATTTTGAGCTAAATTATGAAGGTTTTTAAACATTGATTATTCTTAAAATTCTTCTATTCAATTCAATTCAGTTTATTTATATAGCGCCAATTCACAACACAAGTCATCTCAAGGCACTTTACAGTTCAACCAGATCATCCAGTCAAATGATTCAAAGTTTTCTATCTAAGGAAAACCAGTTGATTGCATTGACTCAAATGCAACCCCTCACACTAAGCATGCTTGTAGCGACAGTGGAGAGGAAAAACTCCCTTTTATCAGGAATAAACCTCCAGCAGAACCAGGCTCAGTGTGAGTGGCCATCTGCCGAGGCCAACTGGGGTTAAAGGAGACCGAAGCAGAGACACAAAAAGCAGCTGTAAAAGACGGCCCCGTCCAGGAAGCACACAGCCAGGCTGATGAGCTCCGAGCCGGGCCCCATGTCAGAGGATGAAGAGAGCACATCCATCCATATTTCTCTCCTCGATGGTGTCACAGCCAAACGGGAACAGACGAGGCAAAGCTACTATGAGTCTCTAAGTCTTTTGTGAAGAATGTCATCTCTGTTGCCATCACCTGCTGGAGTAACAGCATAAAAGCAAATGACAGAGTCAGTGAGAAAGGTCTCAGCATTCTTTTAGACAGTCGTTAAAAAAACAAACAAAAAACTGCGAAAAATAAATGATATAAACTGTTCACTTGAACTGAACATTGTACCAAACACACAAATAAATATCTTAGATCCAGTCTCCAAGATTAAAGATAGATGTTTTATCAAACTAACTGTGGATCTCTCTGTAAGGAGATTTTTTTGCTCAGTGCAATTTTTCACCTTGAGCTCTAATTCAGTCCTTTGTTGTAATTTGATTTTATTCTTTTTTGTTGTTGTTGTTTTATTTGTTAACCCCTTTGTTTCCCTGTGTATAATTGTGTACATTTACAACTCCTTTTTTTCACTTGTGTAACCAAAATCTGCCAAAGTTTTCCCCTTCCTGCCTAGATATTAAACAGCCAGACTGGAGTGTGCTTCACTGTTGAGGATTTCCAGGAAAATTCCTTTATTTCCTTTATTCCCTCTTTCTCTCCATAGTTTTGCTGCATCCAGAGCCAGAACATTTCAGAAAGTGTTTCAAGTGTCTCTCTTATGACATCCTCAACAAATATTTTCTACATGGTGGAGTTTTATTGTTCTGCAGAGAAGTGTGCCAAGCTGTTTGGTGGGTGGGAGGTCTTGAGACACGCGTCCCCTTTGACTCATTGTAACATGAATAGCCCAGCTCTAACCACACCCCATACACCCCCATCCAGGCGCCACACAAAGCCTCAGAGCAGAAGGGTGAAAACACTGGAAAATAAAATAAAATTCATAAAATTTATGAGGTCAGAAATCTAGCTAGAGTCTAAAAACATGATTTATAGATGTGCTGAAAACTGGTGTTCCTTCTGGGGATCAGATTTTTCTTCCAGGTTGCCAAACGCTGCTGATAACATCAAGGTGTTCATGTCATACAAGAGGATTTTTGTCTTTATCAGCTGCGTCCTTCATTAATGATGGTGGAGATTCAGGACACTGTTTGTTGACAAATAGTTCAGGTGTATTTACTCCACCAACCCTGCGACAGGTGCTGGACCCCGCAATCCACCGCAGATCCTTCTCCATCAATAGCGACCCAGAATGCTGCTCCTCATTGGCTTCTTTGCACTGATCCTCCGGACAATAGCCACGGGGACGGGCCCCTCAGCCTGGGGCATGTGCCGTTGATTAACATACAGCTGTTCGCTTGAGCTACAGACAAAGAGCCACCCCCCCCCCCACACACACACACACACATTTACACATAACAGTAGGAGCTCAATAACGGCTGATTCTGGACCCGCCAGCCCTTTGTTACCGCACGCGTCAAAGCAATATTGAAGGAAGGAAGGAAGAAAGAAAGAAAGAAAGAAAGAAAGAAAGAAAGAAAGAAAGAAAGAAAGAAAGAAAGAAAGAAAGAAAGAAAGAACTTTGTGTTTTAAATGATCCCCAGCTAATAAAATGTTTTAGAAGTCTCAGTTTACAGAATGATGTGTCTGTTTTCTTGTTTTTACGCAAGCAGAGATCTGAAAGTTGAGGCGATTCTGTAAATCAGAGGAATCCATCTCCATAAATTGCAACATCTATTGTTATAGACGATACATGATGTTAAAATCTGTTTCTTTTTAAGTCCCACCCATATTTCTAGAAGTATGGTTTCTTAAAGGGGAATTTCATATATATATATATATATTTTTTACATTGGGACCTTAATTTTACGTTATTACATCATGTTCTACTCACCCATACGAGTTTTGTGTCATTTGGAGCCGTTCTGAAGATATTCCTTTAGGTTATATCCAAGTAACGTCTTACTATGGACAATGAGTTGAAGGCACAAACTAAACTGTTCATAATTTATTCTTTATGGTACGCCAGCATTCACAACAAGCAGGCAAAACACTGCCCCCCAGACATCCGCGGTTATATTTTTTATATTTATATCTTTTATCTATATGACGTCATCCACATGCCGGATTGGAGTTTTTTTGTTTTCAAAAAAAAAAACTGTATTTAACCAATGTACATTAAACCAGGTGGCTACGCTCTACTCCTTCTATTCATTCGGCTAGCTAATCTGAATCATTCAGTTCCATTTGGAGAGCAAGATCATCTGTGGTAGACATCTTTCAAGCATGTGAGTAAAACAAGCAGCAGTTCATCGGACAGGATGAATGGATGGTAGCCGGCGTGCATGGATGACGTCATATACACTCCGCTTTGTTTTAAAAATTAGAAATATAAAAAATATAACCCTGGATGTCTGGGGGACAGTGATTCACCTACTTGTTATGAATGCTGGCGTACCATAAAGAATAAATTATAAACAGTTTAGTTTGTGCCTTCAACTCATTGCCCATAGGAAGACGTTACTTGGATATAACCCAACGGAATATCTTCAGAACCAGGGGCAGAGCTAGATGGGGGGACAGGGGTGGCCATGGCCACCTTTAGGCAATCACTGGCCACCCCTGTGGCCACCCGTACCATTTCCCTCTAATACAGATGGTGTCAAAACATTTTAATTTTTCATATATTAACAATTACTTGATAACAAAAACACTGTGGTTAATTCTGCATATCAATATACTAACATTAAAGATGATAAATACAGAATTCATGTTCTTTTCAGAACTAGATTTTGGGTTTTATGGGTTAAAGAAAAAATGATGTGTCTCTGCAAGTCATCTAGGAGTCTTCAGTGAAATCCTAGATAAATTTTAAAACAATTTTAATAAAAACGTATTAAATGAGTAATTTATTTAGATATTAATATTTGTAAATATCAATTTAATGCAGAATAATGACTGATAAAAGTGGGTAAATAATGACAATGGAAAAGATGTTCACCCAAAACTCAAACCTGAAAGAATTTTATCCACTATACCTTTTATGTAGAAAGAACAAATATTTGAATATATTCCTCTATTTGTCTGCAAAGGCTGCGGGAAAGTATAGTTTGTCTTTATTTAGAAAATATGGAAGTTTTGCTTGTTAATTTTCCTGTTGGAACAGTACAGATTGACCGTGAGGTTTTGGTGCCTATGGTTATTGCATGGCCACCCTTATTAAAATTTTCTGGCTACGCCTCTGTAGAACGGCTCCAAATGACACAAAACTCATATGGGTGAGTAGAACATGATGTAATAACGTAAAATCAAGGGACAAATGTAAAAAAAAAAAAAAAAAAAACGGCTTTCCCCTTTATACTTAAAAAGCCTATCTGCTACACGCCAGCTTCTTATGAATATTTCTCAGATTTCCAGGCCAGATGTAATGTGGGTTTCCTAATTCCCCAAGCAGCTCCAGTTTGTCAATAAGCTCCCCTGAGGTCTGTGCACGCCCCACCTCTCCTGCGTGACGCGCAGGACTTGAGTGTATAAAACTCATTTGCGCCTTTATGCATCAGAGCCAAAAGAAGTGAGCACTAACATCCTAATAGGACAGAGGGAGGCGATCAGAGGGAACTGGGAAGTATTGAACGGATCTCACTCTTTTTAGTGATTAAACTTGAAGAGATTTTAGCTTAGTTATAGACTGAAACCTTCCGAGGACTCCTGCTGTTTGGGTATTATTCCGCGCGACACATGCGAACTTCCATTTAAACAGAAACCTGATTTTTACGAACACAATGGCAAATTTACATCTGAGATGCCTTTTGGCCCTGGTTTTAGTGCACGTGGTGAGTTGGTTTATATTGCTTTAACTTGTTAACGCCCTTCCGATGTATTTACGCACCTTTTTCATGATGCTTCTTTACGCGGCTGCAGGTTTGGTCCTCTGGTGTTTTCGAGTTGAAGATCCACTCTTTCCACACGGCGCAGCGCATTTGCAGAAGACACAGAGACTGTCACATCTTCTTCAGAATCTGCCTCAAGCACCCGGAGGATGTGATCTCAGCGGAGCCACCTTGCACATTTGGCACCGGCCACACGAACGTCATCCGCGCGGACCACACGTCTATCTCCAGCAGCGCTCCTATCAGGGTTCCTTTCCACTTCAAATGGCCGGTAAGTCCAACCATCACGCCTATCTATTTCGTCCTTTCTACCCAGGCATAAACTATCCAAGAACCGCAATACTCTTCTGAAAACACTTAAATTAACAGATAGCAACAGTTCTCAGATTTTACACATTATTACATTTTATTGAATATTTGGCTAACAGCATGAGATCCTAGATGGCCGCTGGTAGGTCATGGTGCCTGACCAAACCCTGATAGACCTGTTGGTGGGTATATTTAATGTAGATATAATATTTCATTACCAACATCTGAGCAGAAAATTGCTTTTAATTTCTTGCTGCCAAAGAGCTGTAAAACCTTCCTCTGGTAGGATGACTTGATACATCCTGCCTGATTCAACTGGTCGCCATAGGAGCAGGTGCATCAAATATCATACTGCTCTGAATGATAATGTGCAACCCCATCATTAGCGGAATATAAATGAAAGGTCTCTTCATGTGTTTCAGGGAACGTTTTCATTGATAATTGAAGCCTGGAATGCAGAATCTCCCACAGAGTACACTGGTAGGTTGTTCCCAAAAAACACAAGAAATAAATTAAGGTTTGAGTTTTTGGTCTTTACTTCTATACAGCATAACCACTTTCTTCTCTCCTTCTTAGATAACCAGAACAACCTTGTGAGCCGTTTGGCAACCAGGAGGAGGCTTGCCATCGGAGAGGACTGGTCCCAGGACGTCCACTTCGGCGAGCAGAGTGAGCTGCGCTACTCCTACCACGTCTACTGCGACGAGTACTACTTTGGGGACGGCTGTGCAGACTACTGCAGGCCTAGGGACGACACGCTGGGCCACTACACCTGCGATGAGGAGGGCAACCGCATCTGCCTGGAGGGATGGAAAGGGAACTACTGCTCTGAGCGTGAGTGGAGTTCACAAATGAAGCCATAACAAGATTTTGTGAGGCCCTAAGCAATTTTAGGGGACCAAATTTTTTTCCATGGGATTTACTAAAGAACAGCTCTAGATATAAATGAACCCAAGCTTGTGAAGCAGACTCCAAAGGGACAGAGAAATTGTCGAATTATTGTAATCAAACTATAATAATTTGCATCTACACTTTTAAAACTAAAACATCTTCTCTTCTAAACACTAAACCCTGTTACATTTTGTAGAACTTGAAACTGTACTTTTGAAGCTCATTTGAAAGTTCAGCCTTTATTTTACCTATTCTACCCAAAAGCTCTGTGATCCATGTTTTGTGTGATAAAGCTGCTGCATGTGTTTCTCTACTGGCCCCTGGCAGCAACTCAGGACATAACTTGGGCTGGCTCTGACCCCGGGAGGAACATGGTAGATGTTCAGTTATATTTTTACTCCCCAAAAAGTCCATATGAGCCAACAGCCTTTATGACTCTCTCTCAAAATGACTTTAAACCTGCTTACAGTTCTCATGTTGTCCAAAAATATTGAAAACCGGAAAAACCTACTTTCTGTGTCAAAATTTGTTGATGTTCTTGAAGAAAGAGCTACTGCTGAAAAACTGGCCAGAGCTTTTAGAGCTGTAAGGTTTTATCTGAGTGATGTGTTTTTTCTTTTCCATTCATTGGACATCTGTGATGTCCCATCTGCCTTTTGTTCTCTTACTATAAGAGAAAGTGTTGTGGGCCCTTTAATGCACACTTTTCAGGGTGTTCTGAGTAGGAATGTGTGTGTGTGGGGCTGTGAGTGTGTGTGGGGTGTGTTTATGTGATACAGTGTGTGTGATGGAAATGAAAGAAAGCCTCATTCTTGGGCTGTGTGCCTGCCAGCTGCTTGGATTAATACTTAACCAACAGCGACGTCTGAGACGAGGCTGGGCTCAGACACGGGTGGGGGGACTGTGTGTTTGAGAAGGTGTGTCCATTGTAATCACTACTCCTCCCCTCCCTTTCTTTTCTAGCCATCTGCTCGGCGGACTGCAGTGAGAAGCATGGCTACTGCGAGGCCCCAGGGGGCTGTACATGCCGCATGGGCTGGCAGGGCCCCTCCTGCAATGAATGTGTGCAATACCCAGGTTGTCTCCATGGGACATGCAGCCAGCCATGGCAGTGTAACTGTCAGGAAGGCTGGGGAGGGCTCTTTTGCGACCAGGACCTCAATTACTGCACCAACCACAAGCCATGTGCAAATGGGGCAACCTGCACCAACACAGGTCAAGGCAGCTACACCTGCACATGTAGGCCCGGCTTCGGAGGAACCAACTGTGAGCTGGAGACCAACGAGTGTGACAGCAACCCCTGCAAGAATGGAGGCAGCTGCAATGTAAGTATTGACCCTAATCCAACTAAGTTTGGGTAGGTCTACCGGTTGACTTTGTCCAGCGGATATCTATTAATCTTTTACTGGATTGACTACAAAATATATCAAGTAAGTAAGGTTTTATATCTGTGATCTGTCTCCAGGACCTGGAGAACGACTACTCCTGCACCTGCCCACAGGGATTCTATGGAAAGAACTGTGAGATCATTGCCATGACCTGTGCAGATGGTCCCTGTTTTAATGGCGGAACCTGCATGGAGACGATGACTGGGGGCTACACGTGCCGCTGCCCTCCCAGTTACACCGGCTCCAACTGTGAAAAGAAGCTGGATCGCTGCAGCAACAGGCCCTGTTTGAATGGTGAGTTCTGACAGAAGTCTTATCTCTGGTGACATCTTGTGGCTGAAGTTTAAACAAACAAGCTCTGTTCTATTAGGATTTATCAAGTCAAGAGTTTGAAGACTGCACCATTTCCTGAACTTTGAATTTCTTCCGTTTTCAGGTGGTGACTGCCTGGACCTTGGCCAGAGTATCCTGTGCCGTTGCCAGCTTGGTTTCACAGGGGCCAATTGCCAGATCAACATCGATGACTGTGCCTTGAATCCCTGCCAAAATGCTGGAACATGCCAGGATGGTGTGAATGACTACACTTGTTCCTGTACCTTGGGATTCACTGGGAAGAACTGCAGCGTGCGTTCAGATGCCTGCGGGGCCCGTCCCTGCCAAAACGGTGGCACCTGCTTCACCCACTTTACAGGGCCCGTCTGTCAGTGTCCTAAGGGCTTCATGGGTCCGAGCTGTGAGTTCACACTTCAACCTAGTTTCAAGCCAGCTTTGCGGCAGACCTCCCAGGCCTCCTCGACTACCACCGTCACCATATCCTGCCTCCTAGCAGTCCTGGTGCTGGTTCTAGTTGCGAGCATCCTTTTCCTGCGGCGAAGAAGAAGGAGGATGGAGGGAAGGAAGCATCTGAGAGACATTGCAGTTTACAATGACTTGGAGACGGTCAACAACCTGGGAGGCAGTGAGAGGGATGCTTTCCTCAGTCCAAATGGCCTCTTCAAGATCAGCAACAGCACTGCTCGCCTCAGCCTCTGCCCCGATGGCCGACCGGGATACAGGCACAACCCAGTGGAGAGCAGCCTAGCCAGAGTGGAGCATCAGGACTTCGTATGGAGGGACGAGGCCATGCTTAGCTCTACAGCAGGACTGAGATGAAGCAGAACAAAACACACATTTTGATACAGGAAAAAAAAAAAAACATTTTAGCACTTGTTGCCTTTATCTTTGTCAAAAGAAGAGCAAAGCAGTAACAGATAGAGATGTCAGTGTAAACATTTCAGGTCTGACATGAAGGACATGAAGTTATAAGGATATTTGAAAACGTTTATGGGCCTGTGCTCTTCAATGTTAAGACCCAAAGAGACAAATAATGTGACCTTTTGATGATAGGACCTACAACACAAACCAAATGCAGGATGAAGAATTATATTTTCAGTACATTCACTTTCTTTTGTATAAATTTTTTTTTTTTTTGCATTTCAATCTTCCTTTGACAATTTTTTCCTTGTTGTGTGAACCATCATTTTTTATTCTTTATATTATTTATTTATTTGGAAGCTTCACCTTGATTATCACAGATGTAGAGATATATTTATATGATGCTAAGCGCAGACTGTGACATTTGATGTTGTATCTGGATATATGAAATATCCCAAAGATAAAAGTGCAGATATAAGGAGCCATTTCTTCTGATGATATCTACAGTATGATGTTTTAGTGGTGGTTTTACACTCATGTGCCATTTTATGTTCATGCCAAAGTTTGTGTTCTTTTACATGTTTTCATTCATGTTATTTAAGTTAATCTTTTGTGTGTTTGGGAATAAAACGTGTGATGAAGCTTTCCTGTCCTTGGCTACCTGCACCATGAGATTACAGGGGTTATAATCTGATGAGTAAACAGAGTCTAGGTAAAATTTTGGAAATTAAATATTTGTTCTAATGGTTTATTCATCCAGCTGGTATTTTCTTCATAGAATCCTCCTTTAAAAATCTGAAAACTCTCCTCTGACCGACGGTGATGTCATAGTTTTCTTCTTTTTATTTTTAGAGGTGATCTAGAGCTTTCAGAGTTTTGCACACATGATCTAAAGGTTCTGCCTGATACGACTTGTCGGGATTTGTGTTTGGTTATCTTCAGTGTCAGCTTCTGAAGCCAGATTTTGTTCCGAGTTTAATTTAGGTTTGTCTAGGAGTGTCTGTATTTACAACAAATACATGTGTGCAGGGGGTAAAAATGGATGAAATAGGCTAAGCTAGTTAGTATCTCTCCAGGAAAGTTTTGAAAATAATTACAAAAACTCCAAGACTCAGTGTGGAAAAAAAGCAGAAAAAAGTATGTTTTCAAGATGATTAAGAGTGGAACCGCGCTAAGAATACCAAATTAATTTTGAGGTCCACTGAGGTAGGAGCTAAAATTGCTTGTTGTGTTTCGATGTGGCTGCAGAGTTGATTGATCCGTCACTAAGCATCATCAAAACTGATGGTGCTTTTTTTTTTTTTTTTTAACAGCATACAACATGAATATTCACCTTTAATATATGAAAACATTGAACTGTTTACTTTTGACATTTGAATTGAGAAAGCTTCCTGGAGAAGTGGCGAAACTTCTTCAAATCTTGGAAACCAAGTCCAGTGGATATTTTTTTTTATTTTTACGGACTGACTATAACCTGGATGACTTGGAACCTTCATCAGCATATTGCACTCCATTTTGGGAAAGACACCCTCGGAATAACGCGTGAATATGAGAAATTGCTTAGAAAACTTGCAGATTATAGGAACCATCTATGGTTCAATTTAAGATGTAGACAGCAAGGTCTCATTCCCAACAGTCTAAGACTGAAGTCTACTATCAAAGGGCACAGGGCAGAAGAGATTCTTAGGAATGCGCACAAAAAGCTGCTTAGTGAGAGGATTAGACAGACTCACTTCACAATTGAAGCTCTCTCACACAAAATAGATCGGACAATGCAGAAGCTATCCAAACTTGCCATGTTTGTCAATAAAGTCAAGCTTTCACAACATCAAAAAGCAAACGAAAGACAAAAAGCCAAATTCAAAAGATTACAACAGAAAGCAGCATTTAAACAAGAGAGCAACATAACTCAGGAGGAAAACATCAACATCAAGGTCGAAGACAAGTGGGTCAAAAACCTATCTAGCAGACCACTGACAAAACCAGAGATGGATGTACTGAGTAAAGGCCTGAATTTTGCCATTTCTCCACAAGAAGCACCCATTGTGGAACTGATCACTGCCACTGAATCGGCCATCAGGAACAACAACCTGGCTGAAACGGAGGCAGAGCAACTCAGACTGAAGGTAACAGCTACCCTGTCCAGCACCAAACCACCTCCTTCCAACCTCACACCCCAGGAAATGAAAGCCATAACATCCCTGAGCCAGTACCAAAGCATCACCATATTACCAGCAGACAAAGGAAGATGAACCATAGTCCTCAACACCTCAGACTACCAGGACAAAATTATCACTCTACTGAACGACACTAATACGTATGAATCCTTAAAAAGAGATCCAACCAGCGGCTGCAAAAAGAAAATAATAGACTAACTCAAACAACTTGAAAAAGACAAGGTAATTAACAGCACAGGCTATTTCAGATTAAATCCAGGGGAGGAAATTCCATGCTTATATGGACTCCCAAAAATTCACAAAGAAGGGGCACCACTCAGGCCCATTGTCAGCAGCATTAACTCAGTAACATACAACATTGCTAAACAGCTTACTAATATCTTAGCTCCCTTGGTGGGGAACACACCACATCACATAGAAAACTCCAAAGACTTTGCCAACAAAGTCAAACATTTAAGGATGACACCAGGAGAAACCCTGGTATCGTTTGATGTTACTTCACTTTTTGCATTTATACCTATAACAGAGGCAGTGGAAACAGTCAGGACACGTCTTGAACAAGATAGTGACTTAAGCAACAGGACTAATTTCACTACGGACAAGATCTGCACACCACTGGGCCTTTGTCTTTCCACAACCTATTTCAAATTCAGAGGTAATTTTTACAGACAGAAGCATGGTTGCGCAATGGGATCTCCCGTGTCACCAATTGTAGCCAATCTTTACATGGAAGAAATGGAAAAGAGAGCTTTAGACACTTTCAATGGAACACCACCAAGCCACTGGTTTAGATACGTGGATGACACTTTCGTCAAAATCCAGCTAGAGGAAGTGGAAGCTTTCACAAAACACATCAACTCTGTTGACCATAACATCAAATTCACCAGAGAGGATGCCAAGGACAACAAACTACCCTTTCTGGACTGTCTGTTAAGCATGGAAGGAGATGGGAGCCTAAACATTGAAGTGTATAGGAAACCTACTCACATAGACCAGTATCTTCTTTTTGACTCACACCACCCACTGGAACACAAACTCTCAGTCATCAGAACCTTACAACACCGGGCAGAACATGTCCCTACTAAAACAGAAAGGAAGCAAAAAGAACAGAAACACATCAAAGATGCTCTCCAAAACTGTGGATATCCAAACTGGGCTTTTATCAAATCAGCAAGTAAATCCAAACGACACGCAACAGAAGACAGCGATGGGAAAATTAAACGCAAAAACATTACATATGTTATGTGTTGCTGGAGTGTCTGAAAAGCTCAAGATTTTCTCCAAACACAAGATACCAGTACATTTCAAGCCAAACCAAACCTATAGCGGCTTCAATGCACCAAGGAAGTAGGTGTATAAGTGCGCACTCACCTTTAGGCCGCTGAGAGTTCGGGTCGGGTCCTCCTTTCTTGCCCTATTTGTGGCGCGCTTAAATGTTTATATTGTTACAAATACGCTGGAGTCCAGGATGCTTTTGTTTGTTTATTGTCACCAGCATGAGTTAATGAAAGCGCAGCAGGGATGATTGTGGCAAACAAAGTCAGATCCATTAATTAATATAGGAAACGAATGAATACTGAAACAAAATAATATGAAACGCAGTGAAATGATGCGGTCAAACAACATTACGGCAGCCCCACCGTTCCTCTTCTCATCAGTGAGACAGGTGAGTGCGCACTTATACACCTACTTCCTTTTCTGCACACCCACCTCCCTTTGAGTCTCCACCTCCAAGACACATCATACACCACATAACCATTTATGTCTCCTACAAAACCCTTAAACAGAGGCTAGTGCATCCTAAAGATAAAACCCCCAGACCGAATATGAGCGGAGTGGTATATGCTGTTCAGTGCAGCGAGGAATGCTCTGATCTTTATATTGGAGAAACCAAACAACCTCTCCACAGACGCATGGCCCAACACAGAAGAGCGGCCGCCTCTGGACAAGACTCCGCAGTACACCTACATCTTCCGCAGAAAGGACATTCTTTTGAGGACCAGAATGTTCATATTCTGGATA